CTGCCGGCTGCGTCGCCAGCGGCGAGAGACGCGCACCCGGATTTGAGAGGACCGCGGCCGCGGGTGAGGAGTCTCCGACTCCGACAGGCGGGCGCTGCCGTCTCCCGGGAGAGCAGTTGCAGGTACTTCGAGGAAAGTCACGCCGGTGCTGTCAGGCGTTCAGCCGCCCACCTGTTTGTAGGTGAAAGCTCCCCACGGCCCTGTTCCTAAACCACTTTGCTTGTACTTATTTTTGTTTGTGTAGAGACGGGCTCTCGCCCCGTTGCCCAGGCTGGTCTCAAACCCCTGGCCTCCAGCGATCCTCCCACCTCGGCCTCCCAGAGTACTAGGAGCCCAGGCGTGAGCCGGTACGTCCAGCCTGCTTATGCTTCCACACATTTCCAAATGAGCGCATAAGCAGCCGGGAGCTCTCTTTAAAACATGTCTTCTGCACCAGGTAGCTCAGAATCATTTTGACATCAGACCAGATCCACCTTGTTGAGTTAACTCCGCCTACCTCGTGCATTTTTAAAAATGTGAATTCATGAAAATAGCTTTGTTTTGAGATGACATTACACACTTTGGAAAACCAGAGACCTGAGGTGGTGGGAAAACCGGGACTTGGAATCCCTGAGTCGGACAATCGGAGCTTTATTCCAGTGTTTTTGCGCATTTGAGCACGAAGCTGCTTCTACTGGGAAGGACTCACGTGGACATCACATAACAAAGATGTGATTAACGACACTGCGAATGGACTGCGCCATGAGCCCGAATTTATGTGTAGGAATCATCGAGCTCTTAAGATACTCCATTTGCGGTGTACCGGATTGGGACCCTGACCCCTGGAAAAACACTGTTTGTTGTGGGATATCCACGTGGACCCTGTAAGGGACTTTTTTCACTTGGCAGAAGAACTGAGAAGCAGGTCTGGGGTGGGTTCGAGAGACTCCATCTCCGTCGCCACTTTTCTGCCTTTAAGTCCCACAGCTAAAGTGCATTCGTTACGATCAGTAATTATTTAAGATGAATATGATCGGGTAAGCGTCTGGGAACTTCCTGCCCATCTTTCAGAGAAGGGAAAGGAGCCCTTTGGAGAGGGGAGACGGCGCAGCCAGCCCTTCGGGCGGTAAGTGAAGCCTGAGAGTCGCCGAGGCAGAACCAAATTTCAGCCTGTGCCTTTGACCTCTGGGAGCCTTCTGCGGCGGGAGGGCATCGCGCCCCTGCTCCCGGTCCTCTGGTGGCCAGGAGATGTTACCGCAGCTTCATTGCGGTGACTTGTGCGCGGCAAGGAAACCCCGAAAAACCTAACGGTAGACCTGCTGCTTTTAGAAGGCTTGGAGGGGATAGGTGGAAAGGCTCTGCCTGCATCTCAGATCCGCCTCGTCGGAGGTTGGGGCTGTTCGGAAGAAAGGAAAAGGTAGTCCTTTTTCTAGAGGTGGAGTGCTTGATCTTGCTCAGGTGAAAGGCTCGTGAGAATGTACAGTATACCCTGGACAAGCTGCAGCTCCAATAACCTTGCTACAACTGACACCGCTTGAAACCTTTCTCCCCTACCCTCAGCTATACAATTAAATCACTGTAAGGTATGCAGATAGTGCTGTGATCGCTATCATGGGAGCCTCCTCGGTGTAATTCAGCTAATTCAGGAAACAAGACATAGATTAAAGCTCATTGAAACTAAACGTGTGATTGAATGACAAGAAACACTAGTTTAAAAGGTCCAGGGGAGAAAAGGAGGAATGTAGGCGTGGATGATCAGGGAAGGGTTTTGACCTTATCTTTGCAGGATAGTTCAGATTTCATGTGGGGTAAATAGGTCAACAGAGAGACTGTGCTAGAGGAGAAATGGCACAAGCCAAGACTCGAAGGTGGAGTAAATAAGAACACAGTCTATGCAGGTGAGCAATAAGTAAACCTTTCCAGTAGTTGTCGTGATTGGCAGTTGGGTATGAGGTTAAATTTAAGAGATACAGAAACACACCGTGTAGAAATAGCTTGTTACTAGCCCCAGCCGGCTAAGGCGAAGCCATGAAACAAGTTTTCGTCACCAAAAGTACATTTCCACTCAAAAATCTTCTATACATATCCTCAATAAATACATGGAAGCAGAAATTAAAAACACAATACCAGTTGTTGCAGTTACTCCAAAGAATATGAAGTATTAAAGTATAAATCTAACAAGCCATGTGTGGGATCGCTATGCTAAAGATGGTAAAATGCTGATGAAAGAAATTAAAGAAGACATCGAAAATTGAAATGGTTTACTATGTTCATGGCTTGGAAGAACCAAGAGAGTAAAGATGTCGGTTCCTCCCAAATTGATCTGCAGATATAACATCACTCTCGTCAAAATCCCAGCAAGGTTTTTTGTAGACATAGACAAGCTTCAACTAAAACAGTGTCTGTCCAGTACATCTAGAGGGTTGAGTGGATGCTGGATTCCCCAAAGGGAGAGGAAAAGCTCATCTATTTAGGGTAACCGGCAAAACAGGGACTCCAAGATTTCCAATCAGATAATCTAGAAAGAAGCTATTTTCGCTGCAGTACACATAAGTGTATGGTTTAGTATTGTTTTTAGTTGGAGTTAAACATGGAGAAGGAGCATCAAAATTGTTAGTTAGAATTCAATATGGAGGAGGAACCCCATAATCTTTAGTGCTTCTAGCCTCCATCCATCCCTAGCTGAAGTTTGTTCATTCATTCAACAGCGATTGAGGGCCCAACACCCATATGTGCATGGCTCTGGGAGTATGTTATAAATTAGATAGCCACGGCCCCTTCTCTAGTAGGGACAGAAGCGGAAGAGAAGACAATAAGCAAATAGAAACAGTGACAGGGCTCTGAAAAGATTGGCTATATAGGGAAAGAACTGGGTGAGGTGACAGTAAATGACTGAGAGTAGGAGCCAAGGTAGTGGGGAAGTTCAAATGAGGAGGGACCTCTGAACTGAGACCTGAAGGGTGGCAACCAGGGAAAGTGGTCTGGACAGAGGACATGGGTCACTTGGAGACCTTCTGACAGAAACAAAGTGACTTGTGGAGAGTGTTCTCAGAGCCAGAGGGAAGCCTACAGGGCTCAAAGGTACAGCACAAGGGTAGGTAGGAGCCAGGCTGTGGAGTACCGTACAGTGCATGGTAGGGAGTTTGGATTCTGTTCCAAAAGATTTCATCAGGTTAGTGCACGATCTGATTTATGAACAGGATATTTGCAAGTAAACATAATAGGTGAGGCTTTAAAGAGAATTAGAATAATATCTATAAATATTTTCATTTACTTTAGCAGCTCCCTTGTCCAGTAGGAAGGGAACATTTTTGATAATTTAGTTCATCTCAAGGGGTCCCTTTGATGTTCCCAATTCAAGTGCTCTTAGCTTAGGATTCATGGATTCCCGTGGATGAGCTTCAGAGGGTTTAGGGGCTCCCTGGAATGGTGTGCATATGTGTGTTTTTCTGTGAGTGGGTCCCTTGCTTTCAATAGATTTTCAAAGGATTTTGTCACACACAAAAATGTGAGTAAGGCCTACTTCACATTTAA